CAACATTATTGTGCCCATCAGTTGGAGCTTCATAACCACATCTTGTCAATCTCACAATAAGAAACTTTTTTAAAACCGAATTATGCTTTTCCTTCGAGTACAAAATTGGAAGAGGGCGTCAATTTCTACCGAATGAGCAATAAAGTGAATATTTTTATGCATGGTTTTCATAAAAAATAATTAAATTCTTAAGAACATCGAAATTCAAGGAGAAAATGCATGCTACATATGTAGTCACTTTTTACAGAGTGTGGTTTTTGCATGCGGCCGAACTGAAGTTTGATTGAAAGCCGGCATCCTGGGGTAATTGAATTATTATGGAGTTATGCTGCATGCTGACTAGTTTTACAACCCTACTTAATTAGTCTTCTCGAAACGAGAACGCATTTCGGAAATTCGGTCGACATTTCATGAGTTAGCCTACCTACTTTAGGTGTATTTGCACAGCGTTTTCAAGTACTGCTCGGACTCAGTCTCGGCTGATAAAATAATTATCGAAGACTGTCCGCTTTTTTGCTGGAGCTTCAGTCCGAGTCGACAGTCCTGAGCATATCTCCGTTTACGGTAGCTGTGCACTGCACAATATACCGATGGGAGGTATACCCGACGACTTCCTTAGGTTGCATTTGTCTAACGCGATCTCTGCAGTTCACTGACAACACTTCAACTCCCTAGCCATTTATCTGCGTGTCGAAGAGGCCGACTGCGTTGACACCGTACGATCTTCTAGGCCTGTGTAACTGAACTTCCAATCAAAACGGTTGACGCACTAGATGGCTGCCCAGTGATCCCACATGCCTATTATTTTTAAATTGAAGGAATACGAAACAGGGGACAATCCCAAAAGGTTCGTACAACCCAAGGCAAAAGTCTACTCTGACGCCATTGTAGGTTTTGTCTCCTGTTATTTGCAGAGATGCATATTCTTAAATTCAAGACAGCCGACGGCCTGACGCTGTCTGATTTTGCAGCACAAAAAATTGGGTGGAGTCCATTTCTTAATTTCCA